CATGTTGTGGGGTTGTTAACCAATGTCATAAAACAATATGTGTACTACTGTTTCATGAGAAACTATTTGTTCTGTAAGCCTTCACCTGAAGTACAATTAAAAAAAAAAAAAACTGAGGCTCAAGGAGTTAGTCCCTAGCCTCAAGTCAAGCTCTCTTAAGGGACAAAGCCCCAGTCGCGACTTCTCCAGACTGTTAAATTGATTTGTGCAACATCACAGACCAAAGCAGTATAAAATCAAGCCTTAGTTCCCATATTATCCTACAGTTATCTCATTTTTCTCCCTAAAAATTTACTTATCCATTACCCAGATTGTACAGATGCTGAAGAAGACAAAGGAGATAGATATGGCTAAGAGAATGCTGACTGTGCCTGGATAGAAAGGGAAGGGAAGGTCCTAATTAAAAAATAAATTTACTGTATACTTTCTGAGGCAGAGCAGAGTGCCACATATGGTGGAGGCCAAGGCCCTTATTCTCAACGGGTTTACTTTCTGGAAAGATAAAAACATCCTCAGGAAGAAGTAGTAATTACGGAGTGTCACAGCAATTAATTACAGAGTGACACAGCAACTGAAAAATATTATGAGTTGTTGGATTTCAGTGAATTATGATAAACTTCATCTCTTATGCATCTTTGACTTAGGAGTAAAGAATTGAAAGCATCAAATATTCAAATATGTGAACTAATGTATCAGTCAGCTGTTATCAGTAATCACAATGATAATTATGTGTTGTCATGGCATTTTCTGTCTCAGAAAATACAGCTTTCTTCAGTACTCCTGTCTTACGTAGAAAGAAAAAGAATTACTCAGACTTGAACCAGCCTATACCTTGCCAAACCTTAATACTGAAGAGTGTGAGTCAATTATAATGGTCTTGTTTTCACAAATATGCTTGTCCATCAGTCCAAATGTAGCACTGAAAATCAGAGGTACTTTTTTTAAATATATGTAACACATGAAGCATTGGATTATAGTAGAGTAGCTGTATATCTTGATAGGAAATACTCAGCATAGAAGAACCTAGTTTTTCCTCAGGCCTAGAGCATTTCCCAATACTTTTCTCAGAAATAAGTGTTCAAGATGTAAAATTGAAGAAAGGACACAGATCTCAACATAAGAACTTTTCAGTGATACGAAAAAATCAGTAGAAAAATGTTATTTACAATATAAGGAAAACGTTTTCTGTATCGGTTAATCAGTTTCTCAAAGCCAAACAGCATGAAATTAATATAACTCCTACTAGCAAATCATTTTTCCAATGCTTTTCTTAGTTTTTTCTTTTTTTTCCTTCATTCCTAGATTGAAAAAGAAAAAACAAGCCAAACAAAATGCAGAAACACCCTCAGCTACAGCTACAAGGAGTCATACTGGAAAAGAAGATGCTAATGCAGTCATTTTAGAACAAGATAAGTACAATATTGCTGTGCAAGAGGATGAATATATTACTGATGAGAAAAAAAAGAGAAAGAATAATCAGTTAAAGGAGATCAGACGTACAGAGTTAAAGAGATACTATAATATTGGTAAGTATTGGTGGCAATAACTGCAGCATTTTTTATTTTAAAATCTAATGATTTTTAAAAGATTATAATTTATAAATGATCATAACAGTAATAGCAACAGTTTACTGAGTAACTGCTATGTATTCCAGGCACTTGCTTTATATATACAATCTTATGTACAGAAATGACAATGGAATAAATGTGTTAGTGTGTCTTGTTCAACAGTGTTCTCAATGTCCGGCACAGTGCCTAGCACATCCTATGCACTCATAAACATTTGTCAAATGACTATTCACTTTTCCTGTATGAGAAATATTTTTCTTAACGTATGTAGACATATCCATAAAAGTGTTAATAGAAATGCCTGTGCCTTTTGACATCAGCTAGGCTATAGAAGATGAAGAAGACGTGGCCTAGCATCCATCAGTTAAAAAAATAGACTTGAGAGTTTTAGTTCAGTAAAATCTCAAAATGAATTCACAGTGTTATGCAGTTTCTTACAACAGCCGTTGCATTCTGAAACTGCATGATTAGAAATGGCGTATCTAAAATGGTAGAGGTGATAATCGTGCTTCACTGGGCTCATTCTCACAGTTATGGTTCCTATCACACACAAGCCTGGACTCTGTTCAGAAAGGAGTGCGAAGAAAGGGTTCTTCTTGTAGTTAGGTGCCGTTGAGTTGCTTCTGACTCATAACAACCCTAAATATAACAGAACAAGATGTTGCCAGATCTTGCATCATGCTCACAATCGTTGCTATGTTTGAACCCATTTCTGCAGCCATTATGTCAGTCCATCTTGTTGAGGGTCTTCCTCTCTTTTGCTGACCCTCTGCTTTACCAAGTGTGATGTCCTTCTCTAGGGATTGGTCCCTCCTGATAACATGTCCAAAGTACTGAAACAATGTCTTGCCATCCTCGGTTCTAAGGAGCATGCTGGCTGTACTTTTTCCAAGATAGATTTGTTCATTCTCCTGGCAGCACATGGTATATTCAGTATTTTTTGCTAGCACCATAATTTAAATGCATCAATTGTTCTTCAGTCATCCTTATTCATTGTCCAGCTTTTGCATGTGTGTGAGATGATTGAAAATACCATGGCTTGGGTCAGGCACATCTTAGTTTTCAAAGTGACATCTTTGCTTTTAAACACTTTAAAGAGGTCTTTTGCAGCAGATTTGCCCAGTGCAGTATGTCATTTGATTTCTTGACTGCTGCTTCCATGGACGTGAATTGTGGATCCAAGTAAAATGAAATCCTTGGCAACTTCAATCTTTTCTCCATTTATCATGATGTTACTTATTGGTCTAGTTGTGAGGTTTTTTGTTTTCTTTATATTTGTGAGGTTTTTTTGTTTTCTTCATGTTGAGGTGTAATCCATACTGAAGGCTGTAGTCTTTGATATTCATCAGTATGTGCTTCAAGTCCTCTTCACTTTCAGCAAGCAGGGTTGTATGACCTGCATATTATAGGTTGTTAATGAGTCTTCCTCCAATCCTAGTGCCACATTGTTCTTCATATAGTCTAGCTTCTCAGATTGCTTGCTCAGCATACAGATTGAATAAGTATAGTGAAAAGATGCAATCACGATGCACACCTTTTCTGATTTTAAATCACTTAGTATCCCCTTGTTCTGTTTGAACGACTGCCTCTATGTATAGGTTCAGCATGAGCACAATTAAGTGTTCTGGAATTCCCATTCTTCGCAACGTTATCCGTAATTTGTTATGATCCACGCAGTCAAATGCCTTTGCATAGTCAGTAAAACACAGGTAAACATTTTTCTGGTATTCTCTACTTTCAGCCAGGATCCATCTGACATCAGCAAAGGGTAAATCCATTGTCGTTGAGTCGATTCCAACTCAGAGTGACTCTATAGTACAGAGTAGAACTGCCCCATAGTGTTTCCAAGGCTGTAAATCTTTATGGAAGCAGACTGCGGCATCTTTCTCCCTCAGAGCAGCTGGTGGGTTTGAACCACTGACCTTTTGGTTAGCAGCCGAGCACTTAAACACTGTGCTGCCAGGCGTCAAACAAAGGGTACTAGGAGTCAGAACTCGATGTGGCATACAGGTATGGCATTTTTAGGATTGCTAGGCTAAGAGAGAGAAGTTGGGGCAAGGAGGGAGCATGCCTTTGAGAATTCAGTATGTGAAACTTGGCCTTGTAACAGTGTAATGAGACTTGTTCCTTAGGACTCCAAACTTGGCCCTGGGTATGCCAAAGTTACAGTGAGACAAATTTTTGTCTCCATGTTTAGTAGAACTTAACTAACGGCTCTTTTCAAAGATAAAAGGTGCTGCCTTTGGGGTGATAATAGGTGCTGCATTGCTGATGTTGCTCCAAGAGAGGCAAATGAAGTACCAGCAGCTGAAAGCATGCAGTTTGTAACATTCCAGTGGGTTAATATGATTACTCTATAATATATTACATAGCTTAATGAATTTTTTAAAAAATAATTTATTAAGATAAAATTCATTAACATAAAATTAACCATTTTAAAGGGAACAGTTCAATGTCATTTAGGTGCACTCACAATGTTATGCAACCACCATATCTAGTTCCAAAACATTTCCATGATTCCAAAGTAAAAACCCTCACCCATTAAACTGTTTCTCCCCATTTCTCCCTACCCTATAGTAGTAATGATAACAGCTGGTTTGGGGCATTTTCTCAGGAGAATCCAGTGCATAGATAAATCCACTAGGTGGGCCATTGACTTCCAGGTCTCTGTGGTCCTTTCCACATCTTACTCTAGCTGACAGACATCTTGGGCAGATTAACTGGACTTCACAGGGTCTGATCTGGTATATCAGATTGCCTTTCCAGGATGTTGTTTCTACCACTAGGTGGAGCATCAGACCTTAAGTCGAGTAATCCCAGTTCCAGTTCTTTGCTTCTTTCCATGGCTCTAGTCTGGGGAGAAGAGCAAATAATAAACTGGGGAGGATCTTGTCATCCACTCTAAGGATTTGGACTTTACTCTGTAGTCAGTAGGGAGCTGTTGGGGAGCTTGATTTTAAAATGTTGAATCTAAGGGCAATGTGAGATGACTGAGTGTGAAGGCAGACAGTGCTGGTCAGAGAGTGGGGCAGAGCTCTTGGGTGCAGGACTGAACCAGGGCAGAAGCAGGGGAAGGACAAAAGGCACATTGAGGAGAGATATTGCTCATAGAAATGGCAGCATTTGGTGACCAGTGTAGTTTGTGAAGGAGCAAAAGAACAGAGTCAAGAATTGACAAACTAGAGAACTCAAGAAGGACGGAGGAAGATAATGAATTTGTGTTTGGAGATGTACAGTCTGAGGTGACTATGGAACATCCAAGCGGATTTGTGTAAAGGGGCCTGGAAATTGCTTCTTAGAGGTATGAGGTGAGTAATTCAGGGAATACACAGAAGTCAGTAGAAAAGGTAATAGACTACAAATGATAATGTATTTATAGAAAAAAGACTGGAAGGGTATATACTGATATGCCAATGGTTATTTTTCTGAATACAGAAGTGGCAAGGGAGTTTTATTTTGTTCTTCATTTTATGGCGTATTTTACATTTTATAGTTTTTTTTAATATTGATAATCAGAAATTATAGAGAAATGAATAAGGTAATGGGTTACAAGTAAGAGCTTTGCAAAAAGAAGATCAAATATAAAGTTCTATAGCCAAAATACAAGAAAATAATGATTTTCTGTAGTTATTCCACATCTGTAACATTATTTGCCTGATCTGCATATTTTTCCAAAATAATGTTTTTACTTGTTGAATTATCTTTACCTGTGCCTCACTTAGCTTTGGATAATAATTCATTGCTATCCCTGACACTTAGAAGAACACATTAGTTAAGATACTAATCAAAGATGTTGTGGAAAGATTGAGTCACTAGAATTAGTCACAATTGCCTGATTGTAATAGAAATTGTGATGATTATAAAAATGTTTTATTGTTTTTAAGGGGGGGAGTAGGGGAAAGGAAGTGGAGTGTTACACTGAGGCAGATGGCATCAGACAAATCTAGATCCAGCACCTAGTGTAGCACTTGGCACACGGTAAGCATCAAAAAAAAAAAAAAAAAAAAAAAGCTTCTTTAATAAACACTACTGTTCTTGCATTTAATTTACTAATACATAGGACTCCTTTTTTGTTTATGCTGCTTATCTATATTAGCTCTTAAGGAATTTTTTGGAAATGTCTTAGAATTCTCTAGAGAAACAGAACCAGTAAGAAATACACACACACACATACACACAGAGAGAGAGAGAGAAAGAGAGAAGTGGGGGATGAGGGAGAGTGAAAATGCACTTGTGTTTGAAAGAGATTGATTGATTTTGAGGAACTGACTCAAGCAATTGGTCCATCATGCCTCATAAAACAAATCGAGACTAATGGGGCACAACAGTCCAGGGACAAAGACTAGAAGGCAGGAGGGGACAGGAAAGCTGGTAATATGGAACCCAAGGTCGAGAAGGGACAGTGTTGACATGTCGTGGGGTTGTTAACCATTGTCATAAAACAATATAGGTACTAACTGTTTCATGAGAAACTATTTGTTCTGTAAACCTTCATCTAAAGTACAGTAACAAAATAAAATCTGTCTTTCAGGTGACAGGCTGGAAACCCAGCAGTCTTGTGTCTCAAGTTGGTGGATCAGGTGGCGGGGGTTGTGGAGGGAGGAATTCTGACAGAATCCTCCCTCGAGAAACCGCCTGGTTTTGCTCTTAAGACCTTCAACTGATTGGGTGAGGCCCACCCACATTATAGAGGGCAATCTGCACTACTTAAGGCCAACTGATTTAAATACTAATCACATTTAAATATTTTATAGCAGCATCTAGACCGGTGTTTGACTGAGCAGTTTGCCATCCGTGCACTTCCCCTTAAACTGTACTTAATTTCCAAATAAAGACAATAAGAAAGTCATATTTCCACCGGCATGATACAGCTATCCTGCTTACAACTGAAAATGCACTAACCCCTTCCCCAGAGATGATGCAAAGTCTTTGGGTGATGTTATTCTTCTCCTTGATAT